TCCAACCCGATGATTTTGTCTACATGACCGGCTTGCATCGTTTCACTCAATGTCAAGGGATCTTTAAGCACCGAGTAGGCATCTATGCATTCAGAGGATACTTGCATGACCACGGAATCATTGTCCTCCAGCAAAACACTTGTGTTCTCAGCATAATCAGTCGTGGGCAAGCGGTCAAACAGCGCCGGCTTATCAACATCATATCTTTCACTAGTTTCCTGTCTAACAGACTCATCAATATGTAAGTCTTCTTCTCGGAGACGTCCTGTGACAGAGGTTCTGGGGGATGGCAGTTGCATCGACTTGGACAACTCCTCTGTGCAACTGAGCTGGCCAGTCGCCCTGTATTGTTCATTCCCAGAGAGGTCTAATTTGTTAAATTCAGGAAATTCATTTGGCTCGACTCTCTCACTTCCTGGAGGCAAAATATCTTGCTTGCCATAATATTTCTCAGAAATGGACAAACTCCACTGATCTGAAGCCGACTCGCTGGGTGCGAAATGCGGACCTGGTACAGGAGACTCAATTTCAAATACTTTTGTGGGAGCTGAGCTAACATTAATCGACGCATCTGGCTCCTTCAACTCATCTCTCTTGTTCTTGATAGTCTGTGTGGCTAAAGCAATCATCTTTACTGGAGCCAGAGCATCCATCACCAAAGTTGAAGTGGGGCACTCCATTTCATCACCATCATTGACTCGAGTTACAATTAAATCTGAGAGATGCAAGGATCTTTCTTCTTCTATCAAGCCACGTTGTACACCCTCGGAGTCACTCACTTCTCTATCAGAGGATGGGTTATGCCCTAGGTTTGTGAGTTTGTTTACATGAACCGTTTGAATGGATTCACTCAATGTCAAGGATCTACTGTCAACCGTTGAGGGATTTATGCTCCTTGAAGATGTCGTCCCTTTTAATGATTGCTTTCTCTCTATTATATTTTGCATTTTTTCTTTTTCTCTTTCTCCAAACAATTTTTTTTTAAATCCACATTCCTTCATTCTTTTCCTTTCTTCCTCAGAATTTTCAACATTTCGACTTTTATTTTCAACCCCTTTCTTTTTATTACCATTCTTATATAATATATTCTTTAATCCTTCAAAATCCGCCTCTATTATTTCCTCTTTGTTGGGTTCCGTTGGCAATTCTTCAATTTCCGGCATTATTCTTTGCGATTCACTTATTGCCTTTAATAATGAGGCTTTCCATGTGTCATCTATTTCATAATCTTTTTCTTCATTTGTTATGTTCGCATACTTCGCTTCCTTCTCTATAGAATTAATGGCAAGAAGTACTAGCTTAAGACTGTAGAACGATGGCATTACCATGCTAATTTTTGAGGACTCATTAGTGTTTGTTTCTTTGATATTGGTGAAGGAACCCACTCTAATTAGTATTCTTTCTGGATCTAATAATCCATG